CCAAAGGCACCCTGTCAAAGGCCCCCATGTATCAGAAGCAGATCTGGGATTTGAGCCCCAAGAGGCCACCTTTGCGTCATCCATGGTGAGTGCCCCACCCCGTGGCCTCACAGTCTGCTCAGTCCTGCTTCAGGCAGACCTTCTGGTGTGAGAGGGGCCATGTGGAGTTGGTGCTGCCCTGCCTCAGGTCACTGACAAAAACACTGTGTGCCAGCAGCCATGGTGCATGTGATCCTGGCAGTCATCCTGGTGTGCCAGCCCCCATGGTGTCTCCCAGACCCAGTCATTGTCCTGGTGGTGCCAACCCCCATGATGTCTCCCAGGCTCCCTAGAACCTCTGAGAGCATGCCGGAGTAGCCAACCTGGGGTACTCATCTGCAATCAGAGACTGAGGGGAGACAGACAAGAGCACAGCATGAGAAGAAAGCAGCAGGAACTCAATGTGAAGCCTTTCGTGTTTTCCTTTGAAAGACTTGTTATGATTTGGAAAGGCATGGAGGGGGAGGTTGACAGAAATCTTCCATCAGCTGTTTCACTCACCAAATGGCTGCAATCATCAGAAGCCAGGCACCTCATTCACTTCTTCCATGCAGGTGGCATATGCCCAAGCAAGCACTTGGATCAGCTTCTGCTACTTCCCAGGTGAGTTATCAGGGAGCTGGATCAGAAGCTAAGTAGTTGGGACTCAAAGCAGTGCTCCAGTAGGGGATGCTGTTGTCACAGGTGCTGGCTTTACCCACTAGGCCACAAAGCCTGCTCCTTGGCTGTAACTTTCACGGAGTTTTATCATCTCCTTTTAACGTGCCCTGCTGAGCCCAGAGGTGCAGCCTTGGACTCAGCTGCCACACCAGAGGCCCGAGAAGCACAAGGTTTCTGCTTCTCTCCAGCTATAAACCCAGGTGCCTTCCATTGTCTTAGGGGATCTTTGCCTTCTGTCTGCTGACCTGGTGCCCATGGATGGGTTTAGAGAGCTGTGCAGTGGCAGAGAAAAACCCCATTTGAAAGGGAGTGCTAAGATGAGCAGTAGCTAATGAACACACACACACATGAGGCAGAATTTCTTCTCCCTCACATTTGTAACCTTAGGGTTGATGTTGGCTCTCTGAACTTCCTTAAGAAAATCTTCCAAAACCAAACCAAACCAAACCAAACCTGCGAATGCCATGTCAGCTGCCCACAAAAGGCCCAGGTGTCCTTACCATTGCACTTTGTCTTCACAGTACCCAGTGGTCATCTGGATCAAGTGGACATATTGGACACATTACTACTAATACAGACTATGGGAGATCGCCTCTGGATCTTTGTCTGCCTAGCCTATGTACGAGGCAGTAAGCAAATCGCATACTGTGTCCCCCAGGGAAGCCCTGACAGGAATCTTGGCTTTCTTTTGTTTTTGTTTTTTTAATTAATCAATTAAGTAAGTATTTTTACAATCTTGCAAAGTTGATTAGGGTACAAAGGGTAAAAGGCTACAGAAAAGTGGGTAAGACCAATATTATTTTTTCCCCTGTGTCTGGGATCAGGGGAGAAACAAAGGGAGAAGCCCCACCCAGCCTCCCACCCATTCCAGGTCCCTGATGTGGGGCACTCTCCAAGGGTCTTGCTCAAGCAGTTTTGATAGTTCAACATTTCTGAATTGCTGCCAATCTCACTGTCCCAAGCATGACAAAATCTATTCAGAATCCACTGGCTGACATAGTCTCTTCATGGTTGGGGTTCTAAGATCAGCAGTTCAGTTGGAGGGATCTCCAAAGAAACTTCATCTGAGGTGATCCCAGACCTGATTCTTGGGTGTGCTAGCCAGTAGAGGGTCAGGCTCAGTCCATCACCCCAGTCAGCTTATGCACATGCTGATGGTTGTAATTGCTGGTTCAGTTCTGTTTCCAGCCCTGTCTTCCATGTGAACCAGTGGGTGTTTTAGTCCAGCCCAATCCTGCTCACTTCATACTTGGTCCTCACGCAAACCAGTGAGAGCTGCAGCCTAGTTGGGGCGACTCCCCATGACTCCCACCAGGTCTGCCCCTTACCCTGGTTCCCATGCTTGCCAGTATGTACCACAGATTTGTCCAGTCTGTCTCACATCCCATTTAGCTCTTGTACATGTCAATGGGCATTGAAGCCCTGTGCAACCCAACCTGCCACACACATGCTGGCAGGAGCCTTTCTGTCTAGCCACCCCCACCCCTGTCCTGGTTTTTGTGCTCTCCAGTGGGAGTGGTAACCCAAGAGAGAGGTGCCCATTATTTCCCTCCTAGGCCACTCCCACTCCCAGATTATGCACTCTCCAGGTGGTTCTGCGGATTAACTTGACAGAATTAGCCCCCAGTGCCAGCCTCTGCCAGCTGATGCTGTGGCAAAGCCCAACCAACCCTCACCCACTCTAATTTTTGCTTGCACCAGTAGGAACAGTCAGGCCAGCCTGGTGTTTCCCTTATCTAGCTCACATGGAGCCCACAGGTGTTGTAGCCCTGCCTGGTCTGGTCTGCCCCCATTCCAATCCATGCTCTTCAGTGAGAATGGCTATCTAGCAGGGGAGCCCTCCACATTCCCCCCACCACCACCAGCTTTGCCCCCTTCCTCCCTGGTTCTCATGTGTGCTTTTGGGTGCTGCGGCCACATCTGTTATGGTTCACCTCACCTTGGCATTCCGTAATGTGCACTGGTTTGTGTCGCGACTGAACCTGGCCCAACCCACACTCTATTCTGGTGCTCAGATTCGCAAGCAGGTGATGTGAACTACTTAAGCCTGGTCTGTCCCTGACCTGTAACAAATGTATGCAAGTGGGTATCTTTTTCTGGCCTGGTCTGGGTTGCTCCCTATCATGGTTCTTGCACTCACCTGTAGGGACTGTTTCCCAAGCTCCTCCATCAGAACCTCTCCCTATGCCAGACCTTACACAGACTGGTGGGTCCATGGGCCAGCCCTACTTAATCCACCTCCTGTCCTGGCAGTTAACAATGGCCTTTCCTTGCTGGCCTTCAATCCATTCCAGTTCTTACTGTTGGATGTTTCAGCCCAGCCTGAGTCTTGGCTTTCTGAGACCCCAACATGGCCTGTTCACTGGGTGTGCAGCAAGAGCGATGGCCTGCACCCCAGTCTCTCTGCACTGATCTTGAATAAAACATGCTGGGATTTCCTTGGTAAACAACCCTAAGAAGTCGAATGTTGCATTCATCCTGCTTTTCAGAAGGTAATGGATTTGCCCTGAGACACAGCTTCCTGTGCTTCCTGAGCTTTAACTTCATCGGAGGGTCCAGAGAGATAGACATACCTACTAACCTGTCATAGTGTCGTGGTTGGGTGAAAATACTCTTGGGACCGCCTTCTGCCTGCCCTCTTTCCTATTCCATATAAGCTTATGAATTCTCTTAAATAAATGGACATCCCTCACCACCAGTTTGTCACCAGTGTTTCTGCTGCAGAAGAACACTGTAACTCACCCACCAGTGGTCATGTGTTCTGCTGGACAGAAGACCCCTGAGAGAAGACATTTTTATAGCTCTCCTAAGGGAGATGAGCAGAAAAGACCAGTAAGATGAAGAAGGTACTGTGCTGACAAAGATGCAGTGGTGTTTGTCAATTAGCAGTGCAAATGCTTGGTGACCAGGAACATTGCAGGTGATGGTGGCATGCACCAGTTTGTCTCTGATTTGGTAATCTCATGCCACTGCTGGCTTCTTTTGCATTTACAACATCCATCCATACTTATGTTCTCAGCATCCACTTTAAATTTTTTGTATTTTTTTTTTTAATTTTGATGATCTTTACATAGTTGGTTAGGGCTCAAAGGGTTAAGGGCTACAGGAAAGTGGGTAAGTGGGTTTTCACATTCTCTTTTTTTGCTTCCTGTATCTGGGGGAAAGGGAGAGACAAAGGGAGAAGTCACACCCACCGACCCAACCATCCGAGGGTCCCTGATGCTCTGAGGGCACTGCTCAAGTGGATTATGGCGTGTTAACTCCAGGCCTTTGGCTGCTGTACAGGGGAGGAAGGAAGCTGGTTCTCTGAACCATGAGTGGGAGTTCAGTGGGTCAGGCCAAAATACCAATGTATGGTCAGAGCCCTATTTTTATAACATTCAGGATGTATTTTGCGAAATTTAGAAATTTTAGTTTAAACTTGTAGATGAAAACTCTTGGTCTGAGGATGTCCTGAGATAAAATGGGAAATGGCCATCTAACCGATTTATGGTTTATGTCACTATTTTCACTTAGAATTGTTACATATTCCATATATACAAATTTTCACGCTGTTATGCCAAAGTGAACCAATACAGAGTGGTTTGGAAAAATTATGGTAACACAAATGTCTGTTGATTTATATGACTTCTGTGGATTTTGATTTTTTTAATTTGATTTTTTTTAAAAAATTCATTTATTTGAAAGGCACTTTTACAGCGAGGGAGAGATCTTCCATCTGCTATGTCAGTTTTCAGTTGGCTGTAATGACTAGGGTTGGTCCAGGCTGAGATTAGGAATAAGGAGCTTCATTTTGGCTTCTAATATGAGTGGCAGGGGCCCAAACACTTGGGCCATCATCCACTGCTTTTCCCAAGCCATTGGCAGGAACCTAGGTCAGGTACGGAGCATCCAGGGACTCATATCTGTGCCTGTATGAAATGCTACCCATGTGGGATTTTGATATTGCAGGTGGTGGCTTTACTCTTTGCATTGTAATATTGGTCTTTTAAATTTGCTTTTTTTTTCAAGAGATATATATATTTTCAAAGTTGTCAACATAGATTTGTGCCTGTGTTTGCCGGTTGGAGCGGTTTTTGCCTTTTAATTAAGGAGCATTCTAAGCACATGCACTTGGAAGGCACACAAAGTGGTGGAATTTGTTTGGGAAGGCAAACACACACACACACACACACACAGAGTGGGCATAACTGAGGACCAGGAGAAGGGAAGCCATCACGGAGCCCCAGCTTAGGACCTCCTGTTGTCTGTCTCTGAGGGAAGCTCTCCCAGCACCACCTGCTATGAGGTGATGTGCTTACCCGGAAGCTTTATAATACCTTAACATCCATATGGATCTGGAGACTTCTCCCCAGACCCCAGATGCCAGCAAAGCATCCTGAAAAGGAGAGTTTCTGATAAGCCAGGAGGATCACACAGGGCGGGGCTCTGTGGATTGTGACCTCCAGCTCGGCTACCTGCCTTACCCCCATCAGGGCGCCATGCTTTCCCTTATCAGTCATTTAACTCCACAAGAGTGTATTTGACCCAAGAACCAATTATTCAGATAGAGGTGTAGTAGTCATCGTGTTCTAGGTTACTGAATTTTGCTTTATGAATGCACCTAAGTTACACACACACAGAAGGGATCACCAAAAGCCTATGGAAAAAAGCATTTAGAAATTAAGTAAGAAGTAGTTGTTTGGTTCAGTGGTGAACAGAGTGCTTGGGATAAGTGTATCCAATCTCACCCTGCTGGCTTTACATCTTAGTTTCATATCTCTCTCCAACTTCTTATAATTTGCAACCTGAGAGGCAGTGGATGACAACAAACTTATACTTGAGTCCTTGAATCTACATGGGGGAAAATTATTTGAGTTCTTGGCACCTGGATTTGTGCTGCTCCTTCCTGGGTGTGGAGGGATCCAAGACAATGAATCCACTGATGAGAGATCTGTGTTTATTGGTCTAGTAAAAGTATAAGTAAAAGTAATTTGAGAGCAAAAATCTCGAAGTCTTCCCCAACAACCGGCCTGGCTGTGAGAGCAAGCCTTTGTTTCAGTGCTTTTCTCGCCGGAGTCTGGACACTGGAAGCACTCAAGGGCACACAGGATGCGGTTATGCTGAATTTTTGAGCATGTTACTGACCTGCAGTAGAAGATATGGGAATGCTCAATGGCAGGGGTCTGATTGGGAAAACACTCCAGCAGCCTGCCCTACAACCAGGACCAGCCAGGCCCTGTCCTCAGTACCCACTTACATAGGAACCAGAAAGGGAATGGAACGTCCCTTCCTCCTCCATCTCCTCTTTGTTCTTCCTCTAACCTTCCTCTTCATTCTTGCCTTTCTCTCCTCCCTTGACTTTCTTTCCCCTTGATTTAATCTGTCTCTTCCCTTTCTCTTTCTATTTCTCTTAATATACCATTTTTCCTCCCTTCCTACACTCCTCTCTCTCTCCCTCCATTTTCTTTTGCTTTTCCCATTTTCACTCTCATGTTGCTCTCCCACTCTCTTTTCCTGTCTCTCTTTTCAATCCATTCGCTTCTTTCCAGGCTATGCCAGACCCTCTCATTTATCTCTCCCGCTAGGTTATTTCTTCTGCTGCCAGCTGATGGCTGTGAAGGTGTACCACATGGTACCTGGAGATAATGAGGCACTCATCTGGCATTCTCCCTTTCATCACCACTGCCTATTAAGCAGGAGATGAATACTGTATAAACTGCACAGAGACATTTGTCATTGGATTAGTAAGCTGAATGTACAACCCTAGGATGTGAAGAAGGCACATGAGGGAAGCATACATACTATGTGTAATTGACAAAAATTCCAACCTCTGCTGATTCTTCAAAATCAGAAATTTAAAAAAAAAAAATCCCATGCATTTGACAAACAAATGAGGAGTACCCCGGATTTTCAAGTGACTTTAGAGCAAGAGTTAGTAAGGTATACCCCGGGACAGGATCCAGCCCGCTGTGCCCATCTCTGAAATAAATGCAGAGACACGGCCTGTCATGGGAACATGGCCTTGCCAAATCGGCCACTCCCTTCCGTGGCCATCACCTCCATCTCCATCTGCACTGGTCTGGGTCATCCACTTGTGTGTCACTCTTTACACCAGAATGTGACAGCTCCAAGGATGAGAAGTCCTTCTCTGCTGTCTTGTCCTGTTGCCCCCTTAGCCCAGCCACATCAGGTGACCAGTATCTGTCATGAGCACCTGACCTGGGTCAGATGAGCAGGGACCTGGAACACCTGGTCGCTGCGGGAGACCCCATAGCGTAGCTCGTTCACAAAGTGTTCGCAGTTTTTGAAGATCAGTGAGTAAGGCACCTCCTTTCCCACTTTCTCCATGGCCAGCTGGACAATCGTGTTGGGAGGCCGTGGCTTGTACTTGTCATCGTGCTTGTTATTGACCCGGTACCTGTGCTTCCCAGCCACCTCAGACAGCAGTTCCTTCTTCACCATGGCTGTTTTAGCAAAGGCACACTTGAGACCTGAAACACCAGCTCCTGCAAATTGACATGTTAAAACATTGTGTCAGCCAAGAGTAGGGTCACTGGGGCTGAGAGCAGGTTCCAGCTCAGGCAGCCTCAGTATCCTTGGCCACATCCCCAAGGACCTGTCTGTCCATCTTGCATGGGCTGAAATTCAGGAACAGGTCAAACCCAAGCCTGGATGGCTTTTTGGGAAGTCACCAGGGTCCCAGGTCTCTAGTTTCTTTATGGGACCATATGGGTCCATATGTCCCTAGTAGAATCAGGGTTTGAGCTAGTAGACAGCCAGGTCCCCATCACCAGCCTAGAAAAAGTCACTGGGCTCCCCAACCAGGACCAGCACTGTGGGAGCACCTGCAGGTGAAGGAACATTTGCAGTAGTGTGAAAGAGGATCCCTGAGCATGACCGAGGCTCACCCTCAGAATCTTGGCTCACTCACCATGAACCCTAAACCCAGCCCTGTCCCACTCATGCCCCAACCAGGCCCTAGACCCTGTTCTATGACATGTAAATGGAAGGTACCAAGGCAGCTGAGAGCTGTGACCTTAATTCCCCAATTTTCTGATTCATCTTTCCCCAGAGGTCCCCACCTCCTCAGTTTCAACCAGGCTACTGCTAAGCTGAGCTGAAACAATGGTTATCAACCAAGCCTGAAGCTACCAGCAGGGAGCACATGGACCCTGGGCCACAACCTAAGCAGGTCTGCTGAGAGCTGGGCCCTCCCTGGGTGCTAGGGTCCATCAGCCCTTCCTCCGCAGGCCTGTGGGACATGAACCAGTACATGAGGGCACTTTTGTTCTTGACTCTCTGTGTCACTGCCCCTCAAATACAGGATTAATTTGTGTTGGAATCTGTGGTACATCCTGCTTGTTACCGACATAGCTGATACTCCAGCCTTCATATGTAGGTTTTTCTAATAAATGCTGTAAATTCAAGAGCCTCATGGCTAATATGATGGCTCATCCTCTGCCTAAAAGCACCAGCATCCCATATGGGAACCAGTTCTTGTCCCAGCTGTTATACTTCCCATCCAGCTCCCTGCTTGTGGCCTGAGAAGGCAACAGAGGACAGCCCAAAGACTTGAGACCCTGCACCCATGTGGGAGACCCAGGGGAGGCTCCTAACTCCTGGTTTCAGACTGGTTCTGTTCTGCTCTAATTTTTGTGGTCATTTTGGAAATGAACCAGTGAATGGAATATCTTTTTCTCTGTCTCACCTTTCTCTGTAAATCTGACTCTGGTTAAAATAAATAAATTTTTTTAAAAAGAAATAAAACTACATTTGGATATATATTTCTGAAAATTAACCAAATGGGAGGCCCCATTTGAAAATGCCCTTAAACCACACTCCCACAGTCACATAAATTAATCTTAATTTTTACCCAAAAATGCTGGTTTTGTGCATGAACTAACCTACTCTCACATGAACAAGACCATCCATAGCTTGTGGGCAATCAGGTACAAAGACGCTCGACCAGCACTCCCCATCGTAGGGGACTGTATGTCTGTGGTCCCAAAACAAGCAGGCAACATACGTGCAGAGTCTTCACAAAGTTCATGGGAGACCCAGCACAGTAGCATAGTGGCTAAAGTTCTCACCATGCATGTGCCGGGATCCCATATGGGAGCCAGTTCATGTACTGGCTACTGCATTTCTCATCCAGGTTCTCATTTAAGGCCTGAGAAAGCAGTCGAGGATGGCCTGAAGCCTTGGGACCCTGCACCCATGTGGAGACCCAGAAGAAGCTCCTGGCTCCTGGCTTCGGATCAGCACAGCTGTGGCTGTTGCATCCACTTGGGGTGAACCAGCAGACAGAAGATCTTTCCATCTCCCTTTCTCTGTGTAAATCTGACATTCCAATAAAGTTAAATAAGTCTTAGAGGAAAAAGTTTGTGGGAAACAAATCATGAAAAAAGTGCATGGATTTCATTTTTTTTTTAAAAAAAAAAAAAGGTAGGTTTCCCTGAGCCTTTCAAAGACTCTTTATGCTTCCTCCTTCATGCTATGCCTGCTCCAACCCAAGCTTCTTGCCAAATTTGGCTTGAAGTCTCCCAGTCCTGAATTCTTCTTTCAATCTACAATAAACCTCTCAAAGCTACATACACTTGTGTACACACACCTGCCGTGTAGCAGCCCAGGACATACAGGGGTGATCTATTTCATCTGGGTCCCTACTGTTTCAGTAGGTGAGTGGCTTCCAGGGTCTACCACTCTCCTTGAAGCCATGATGCTCCATCCTTGCACCTGCACCTGCTCCTGGCTCCTGGGAGGAAGGGAAGTTTATCCTGGCTCCACAGAGAGTGCAGCCACGTGCTCCAAGTCAGTCAGTGAGCAGAGCAGCCAGGATCCCCCTGCGTTATGCTTCCATCACACAGCACAGCCAGCCAGGGTGGACTGTTTGAAGGAAATGACTGCTGTTGGCTGTGGCTTACTCCTCCTGAACAACCAACACGTAGGCTATTAGTCACATGATGGGATGTTGAGCAGGTAGAGAAGGATTGCTCAGAGTTGAACACCCCTGCATAAGAAAATAAAAATCGGGCCCGGCGCGATGGTGCAAGTGGTTAAGGTCCTCGCCTTGCACGCCCGGGATCCCATATGGGCGTCTGTTCTGGTCCCGATGGCCCTGCTTCCCATCCTGCTCCCTGCCTGTTTCCCGGGCAAGCAGTCGAGGACGGCCCAAAGCTTTGGGACCCTGCAGCTGCGTGGGAGACCTGGAAGAGGCTCCTGGCTTCGGACCGGCAAAGCATGGGCCGTTGTGCTCACTTGGGGAGTAAATCATCGGACGGAGGATCTTCCTCTCTGTATATCCGCCTTTCCAATAAAAAAAAATTTTTTAATAAATAAATAAATCTTAAAAAAATAGAAAAGAAAAATCAAGAGCCATCTCTCCACCAACTGACTGATAACAACAGGCAGCCTCTGACACACCCAGCAGGGAAAGGGCGATTAATTCATCTGAGTCTTCCTGAGTGCCAACTCCACCAGTCAAGAAGCAACAGGCATGTGTCCATGCCTCTGTTTACCCTCCCGATCTCAGTTAGTGTAATTGGAAGGAGAATGCTCACTTACCTGAAGGAACCACATGAACCACATAGCCATGTCCCACGCACACGGCCCAGTGTTGAAAGCCAAGGAAAAAAATCTCAATCAGATCTCCATCTTTTGGTGTTTCTGAAACCTACAATTGAGAAGGCACAGACAGGTAGGAGTAAAGCTTTGAAAAGCACATTTTAGAAACTGATCTGCAAGGATTTCTGACCCAGTCTGCAGCCTGACTCTGCTCATTGCTCCAGGGACAATGCAGCACTCCTCACACCGGGAACAACCCCCTCAACTTGCTGCCAGCTGATGGCTGTGAAGGTGTACCACATGGTACCTGGAGATAATGAGGCACTCATCTGGCATTCTCCCTTTCATCACCACTGCCTATTAAGCAGGAGATGAATACTGTATAAACTGCACAGAGACATTTGTCATTGGATTAGTAAGCTGAATGTACAACCCTAGGATGTGAAGAAGGCACATGAGGGAAGCATACATACTATGTGTAATTGACAAAAATTCCAACCTCTGCTGATTCTTCAAAATCAGAAATTTAAAAAAAAAAATCCCATGCATTTGACAAACAAATGAGGAGTACCCCGGATTTTCAAGTGACTTTAGAGCAAGAGTTAGTAAGGTATACCCCGGGACAGGATCCAGCCCGCTGTGCCCATCTCTGAAATAAATGCAGAGACACGGCCTGTCATGGGAACATGGCCTTGCCAAATCGGCCACTCCCTTCCGTGGCCATCACCTCCATCTCCATCTGCACTGGTCTGGGTCATCCACTTGTGTGTCACTCTTTACACCAGAATGTGACAGCTCCAAGGATGAGAAGTCCTTCTCTGCTGTCTTGTCCTGTTGCCCCCTTAGCCCAGCCACATCAGGTGACCAGTATCTGTCATGAGCACCTGACCTGGGTCAGATGAGCAGGGACCTGGAACACCTGGTCGCTGCGGGAGACCCCATAGCGTAGCTCGTTCACAAAGTGTTCGCAGTTTTTGAAGATCAGTGAGTAAGGCACCTCCTTTCCCACTTTCTCCATGGCCAGCTGGACAATCGTGTTGGGAGGCCGTGGCTTGTACTTGTCATCGTGCTTGTTATTGACCCGGTACCTGTGCTTCCCAGCCACCTCAGACAGCAGTTCCTTCTTCACCATGGCTGTTTTAGCAAAGGCACACTTGAGACCTGAAACACCAGCTCCTGCAAATTGACATGTTAAAACATTGTGTCAGCCAAGAGTAGGGTCACTGGGGCTGAGAGCAGGTTCCAGCTCAGGCAGCCTCAGTATCCTTGGCCACATCCCCAAGGACCTGTCTGTCCATCTTGCATGGGCTGAAATTCAGGAACAGGTCAAACCCAAGCCTGGATGGCTTTTTGGGAAGTCACCAGGGTCCCAGGTCTCTAGTTTCTTTATGGGACCATATGGGTCCATATGTCCCTAGTAGAATCAGGGTTTGAGCTAGTAGACAGCCAGGTCCCCATCACCAGCCTAGAAAAAGTCACTGGGCTCCCCAACCAGGACCAGCACTGTGGGAGAACCTGCAGGTGAAGGAACATTTGCAGTAGTGTGAAAGAGGATTCCTGAGCATGACCGAGGCTCACCCTCAGAATCTTGGCTCACTCACCATGAACCCTAAACCCAGCCCTGTCCCACTCATGCCCCAACCAGGCCCTAGACCCTGTTCTATGACATGTAAATGGAAGGTACCAAGGCAGCTGAGAGCTGTGACCTTAATTCCCCAATTTTCTGATTCATCTTTCCCCAGAGGTCCCCACCTCCTCAGTTTCAACCAGGCTACTGCTAAGCTGAGCTGAAACAATGGTTATCAACCAAGCCTGAAGCTACCAGCAGGGAGCACATGGACCCTGGGCCACAACCTAAGCAGGTCTGCTGAGAGCTGGGCCCTCCCTGGGTGCTAGGGTCCATCAGCCCTTCCTCCGCAGGCCTGTGGGACATGAACCAGTACATGAGGGCACTTTTGTTCTTGACTCTCTGTGTCACTGCCCCTCAAATACAGGATTAATTTGTGTTGGAATCTGTGGTACATCCTGCTTGTTACCGACATAGCTGATACTCCAGCCTTCATATGTAGGTTTTTCTAATAAATGCTGTAAATTCAAGAGCCTCATGGCTAATATGATGGCTCATCCTCTGCCTAAAAGCACCAGCATCCCATATGGGAACCAGTTCTTGTCCCAGCTGTTATACTTCCCATCCAGCTCCCTGCTTGTGGCCTGAGAAGGCAACAGAGGACAGCCCAAAGACTTGAGACCCTGCACCCATGTGGGAGACCCAGGGGAGGCTCCTAACTCCTGGTTTCAGACTGGTTCTGTTCTGCTCTAATTTTTGTGGTCATTTTGGAAATGAACCAGTGAATGGAATATCTTTTTCTCTGTCTCACCTTTCTCTGTAAATCTGACTCTGGTTAAAATAAATAAATTTTTTTAAAAAGAAATAAAACTACATTTGGATATATATTTCTGAAAATTAACCAAATGGGAGGCCCCATTTGAAAATGCCCTTAAACCACACTCCCACAGTCACATAAATTAATCTTAATTTTTACCCAAAAATGCTGGTTTTGTGCATGAACTAACCTACTCTCACATGAACAAGACCATCCATAGCTTGTGGGCAATCAGGTACAAAGACGCTCGACCAGCACTCCCCATCGTAGGGGACTGTATGTCTGTGGTCCCAAAACAAGCAGGCAACATACGTGCAGAGTCTTCACAAAGTTCATGGGAGACCCAGCACAGTAGCATAGTGGCTAAAGTTCTCACCATGCATGTGCCGGGATCCCATATGGGAGCCAGTTCATGTACTGGCTACTGCATTTCTCATCCAGGTTCTCATTTAAGGCCTGAGAAAGCAGTCGAGGATGGCCTGAAGCCTTGGGACCCTGCACCCATGTGGAGACCCAGAAGAAGCTCCTGGCTCCTGGCTTCGGATCAGCACAGCTGTGGCTGTTGCATCCACTTGGGGTGAACCAGCAGACAGAAGATCTTTCCATCTCCCTTTCTCTGTGTAAATCTGACATTCCAATAAAGTTAAATAAGTCTTAGAGGAAAAAGTTTGTGGGAAACAAATCATGAAAAAAGTGCATGGATTTCATTTTTTTTTTAAAAAAAAAAAAAAGGTAGGTTTCCCTGAGCCTTTCAAAGACTCTTTATGCTTCCTCCTTCATGCTATGCCTGCTCCAACCCAAGCTTCTTGCCAAATTTGGCTTGAAGTCTCCCAGTCCTGAATTCTTCTTTCAATCTACAATAAACCTCTCAAAGCTACATACACTTGTGTACACACACCTGCCGTGTAGCAGCCCAGGACATACAGGGGTGATCTATTTCATCTGGGTCCCTACTGTTTCAGTAGGTGAGTGGCTTCCAGGGTCTACCACTCTCCTTGAAGCCATGATGCTCCATCCTTGCACCTGCACCTGCTCCTGGCTCCTGGGAGGAAGGGAAGTTTATCCTGGCTCCACAGAGAGTGCAGCCACGTGCTCCAAGTCAGTCAGTGAGCAGAGCAGCCAGGATCCCCCTGCGTTATGCTTCCATCACACAGCACAGCCAGCCAGGGTGGACTGTTTGAAGGAAATGACTGCTGTTGGCTGTGGCTTACTCCTCCTGAACAACCAACACGTAGGCTATTAGTCACATGATGGGATGTTGAGCAGGTAGAGAAGGATTGCTCAGAGTTGAACACCCCTGCATAAGAAAATAAAAATCGGGCCCGGCGCGATGGTGCAAGTGGTTAAGGTCCTCGCCTTGCACGCCCGGGATCCCATATGGGCGTCTGTTCTGGTCCCGATGGCCCTGCTTCCCATCCTGCTCCCTGCCTGTTTCCCGGGCAAGCAGTCGAGGACGGCCCAAAGCTTTGGGACCCTGCAGCTGCGTGGGAGACCTGGAAGAGGCTCCTGGCTTCGGACCGGCAAAGCATGGGCCGTTGTGCTCACTTGGGGAGTAAATCATCGGACGGAGGATCTTCCTCTCTGTATATCCGCCTTTCCAATAAAAAAAAATTTTTTAATAAATAAATAAATCTTAAAAAAATAGAAAAGAAAAATCAAGAGCCATCTCTCCACCAACTGACTGATAACAACAGGCAGCCTCTGACACACCCAGCAGGGAAAGGGCGATTAATTCATCTGAGTCTTCCTGAGTGCCAACTCCACCAGTCAAGAAGCAACAGGCATGTGTCCATGCCTCTGTTTACCCTCCCGATCTCAGTTAGTGTAATTGGAAGGAGAATGCTCACTTACCTGAAGGAACCACATGAACCACATAGCCATGTCCCACGCACACGGCCCAGTGTTGAAAGCCAAGGAAAAAAATCTCAATCAGATCTCCATCTTTTGGTGTTTCTGAAACCTACAATTGAGAAGGCACAGACAGGTAGGAGTAAAGCTTTGAAAAGCACATTTTAGAAACTGATCTGCAAGGATTTCTGACCCAGTCTGCAGCCTGACTCTGCTCATTGCTCCAGGGACAATGCAGCACTCCTCACACCGGGAACAACCCCCTCAACTTGCTGCCAGCTGATGGCTGTGAAGGTGTACCACATGGTACCTGGAGATAATGAGGCACTCATCTGGCATTCTCCCTTTCATCACCACTGCCTATTAAGCAGGAGATGAATACTGTATAAACTGCACAGAGACATTTGTCATTGGATTAGTAAGCTGAATGTACAACCCTAGGATGTGAAGAAGGCACATGAGGGAAGCATACATACTATGTGTAATTGACAAAAATTCCAACCTCTGCTGATTCTTCAAAATCAGAAATTTAAAAAAAAAAATCCCATGCATTTGACAAACAAATGAGGAGTACCCCGGATTTTCAAGTGACTTTAGAGCAAGAGTTAGTAAGGTATACCCCGGGACAGGATCCAGCCCGCTGTGCCCATCTCTGAAATAAATGCAGAGACACGGCCTGTCATGGGAACATGGCCTTGCCAAATCGGCCACTCCCTTCCGTGGCCATCACCTCCATCTCCATCTGCACTGGTCTGGGTCATCCACTTGTGTGTCACTCTTTACACCAGAATGTGACAGCTCCAAGGATGAGAAGTCCTTCTCTGCTGTCTTGTCCTGTTGCCCCCTTAGCCCAGCCACATCAGGTGACCAGTATCTGTCATGAGCACCTGACCTGGGTCAGATGAGCAGGGACCTGGAACACCTGGTCGCTGCGGGAGACCCCATAGCGTAGCTCGTTCACAAAGTGTTCGCAGTTTTTGAAGATCAGTGAGTAAGGCACCTCCTTTCCCACTTTCTCCATGGCCAGCTGGACAATCGTGTTGGGAGGCCGTGGCTTGTACTTGTCATCG